TAGAGCAATATGCATTTAAAAAAAAAAAAAGTCTCTGCCAGCCTTCTCTGACCCAACGTTTGTCTGTGGAAGTAGCAATTCACACATAGAGCAATATGCATTTAAAAAAAAAAAAAGTCTCTGCCAGCCTTCTCTGACCCAACGTTTGAGAAAGTGTTTGCTCAATCTAAATCACCATCTCACACTGCTGCTGACTCATGAACCAGGATCAGTTTGCTTAGTGATTGTTTATGCCTTGCTATGCATGTGAAAGCATTAAGTTGTCAATTTAGCAAAGTGTCATTTTTCAAGACAGTGCTTGTCGCTTTAAGCACGTGCCCAGTACTGGTTTGTGTATGGAGTACATTCATGCCAAGTGTTTTTGAATTCTCTTTCAATGAGTTAAATGCGATTTTTTTTTTAGGTTTTTGACGAACATTCTCATTGTAAGCAGCAGGCAGTAGCCCCCAGCTTTGCTTCAGCGGGCCAGCTGTTCACAGGCAGATGTTGCTCTGTACACACTGGCAGAATCAACTCAGCTTTTCAGTCAGTGGCAAGAAAATTTGCTCAAGGGTTGCTTTTACAGGGGGATATCTTTGGGGGAATGTGATGGCAGAACAAAGCAATGACTGCTTCAATTTTCTCTGCAGAGCTAGCAATCCTTGGAGACAGAAGCCCTGCTCTGTTCCTCTTGTGGCAGCATCCTTATGTCTCGGGGGGTAGGGAGGGAGTGAATGTTCAGTGTCTGGAACAGTTCTGCAAAGACCCTAGTACCATTACAAAGTGGACCTACTGCTGAGGAAGTTCAGTGGTATTTATACTGTAGTTAAATAGCACTGTCTCATATATGCAGACAGATGTATTGGTGATTACGTTAGCCTGCAGGCACACTTTGGCCTGAGATCATGTTAGATTTCAGGAGAGAGGCTAAGAAAACGTGAGCTTTCTGTGCTTGGACAGGTGGTCTTGGAAGACGTACATTACTGCTGAATCTGGGGTTGATTTAGTGATTTTTGCTTTTTATATCCTGTACCGAACCAGTATTCTTCCAGGATGAGAGAACAATATCTGGAGGCTTATCGCAGGTAGGACTAAACTTCCCCATTTGTGTGTTCACGTCAGGTCTAACTGCACGTTCCCCAGAATAGCAGTAGTAACATTTAATATCATAGTCCCCGCAGCCTGAAATTTGAAAGAGCCAAGATAACGTTTTACTATCTCTGATTTGGAAACAAAGGATGTCATCACTAAATACCAGTAACTTGCACATTTGTGTGGAAAAATGAAATCAGAGAAACTGAAGTCCTTACCCACCTTTTTCTGTTATCTATTTGACTACAAATCTTTCCCAGAAATAAGGCTGTTTAATTCTGGTGTTATCTTCAGTGATCATTTTGCCTTTTTGAGTTTCCCCCATAGCTTTATTTCAGATTGGGAATCTCTATTTAAATACTGTAACACAAAGTTCTTCTAAGCCAAGGGTTTCAGTCTCATTGACTTGGGTTTTGATTACAAAGTCTATGGATCTTCTCGGTGATTTGAAAATCTCTCAAGGGGGGAGGCTCAGGCTTTTATTGTAACAAACTTAGTTTATAGTCTGCTAAATATTTTTATGTGCAGCATGGAGAAATGGGAAAATATGCCTCTCCTTATGACTGGTGTGGATGAAGTGATTCCCACATGTATGGTTTGTAAAGCAATCTGAGATAGGCAGGTTCATTAATATGAAATGCAGGTGTGTTAAAATGGCAGCTGGCCATTTTATCTCTCTGCTTCCCTGTGTTATTGCTTACATAATTAACCGTGAGATCCATTGTAAATTACGAAATTTTACAAGTAAGCAAAAACTGAAGGCGTAATGCATTGCTTCGATTTACCAGAAGTGGTGAGTTTTGTTTTTATAATGGTTCCTAGTTATACTAATAAATGGTCCCCAGTGTATTCTGTAAAGTAACCACATTCTAATAAAATACCTCACTCCAGTGACTCTTATTAAATATTCTGTGAAAATGAAGGAGATACAGTAATTGTTTGTGCTACTGCTGAGGGTATAATTAACAAGGTTTGACTGTAGCTGTTGTCAGAATTAGCATACTTCCCATGTAAAAATCTCTGTTAACAGTGTTAAGATTCGTATTTCAGATGTATCCACAATTTGCAGTTGATCAAGATAATGTAATACTTAATAAGCAATCTGCCTTGCCTGAATTATGTTGAATCATGTGAGTACTTTGTTTAACTCCATTGCAAAGAATCCTCATAGAAAACCAAATCTCCAACAGCAGAAGGAGTTTCCTTTTTGCAGAGAATCACTAGGGAGTCAGGGAATCCCTAAATGTGCATGCAGCAACGTCCCATCAGCTCCTTCCTTCCTTCTCCTTGGCATAAGCTGTAGGCTTGCTACCACCAAAACCTACCTTATTTTAAAACGATAGTCAAGGGTAATAGAAGATGATGCATACTTGATCAAAGTAAAACTGAAACAATAGAATTCAGGAAACAATGCAAGTTCTGAGCTGGAGAAGCTGACATTTGAATACAAAACAAACGGCATGATGAGGTGCAGACCGAAAGCTAGAATCTGGTCTATTTTTAACTAGGCAGTTGAAGATGTGAAAAACTGAGTTGTTTGTTCAAAGTGACAAATACAGAGATAGTGGCTAGCTGGTAGTCAATTCACACATGTGGAAAGGAGGATGAAGAACAATGCGCAGCTAAAATAGCTGAATTTTCCAGTTCTGTGGATTGCTCATAGATTTTAGTGGCATTGATTTTTGTCAGTAGTAATAGATCCTAAAAGGGATCTGATCTGAATTTGCATTTGAAATCAAAGTCCTGGCAATGTGCTGTTGGAAAAAGTGGACAAAATGTGCCACACAAGGCACGTGTATTTGTATGAGCAGGGTGGAAGCATATTCCATAAATAAAGATGCTGAGAAAACCACTGATTTGGTAGCCCTGATGCCCGGACGGGGCCATAAGAAGGAACCAGCTTGCCAGTTGGCAAAGGGAACTCCTGGTCAGGAAGATACAGCAGCAAGTATTCATGCACAGTGCAAAGACAGTCATGGAATGAAAATAGGTGCTGTTCAGGCTTATGGGTGTGTGTTCAGGGTTATTTTGTGGTGTGGACTGAGTCTTATGTATTTCAGCAAAAGGAGTGCTTTCTTTACCAGGGCTTTGTGATTAATAGACATTACAAAGTTTGCACTCCAGGATCAGTTTTTAATGAAGCTGTTTGGTTGCCTCTCTCCGGGCTTAATATCCCCAAACTGAACTTGCTGGCTGCTACCTCACCAGGCCAATTTGTTAGCTCAGGTCTTTGCAGAGGAGGAGGGAGTCCCTGGTGTTTGGGGGTTTTTTGAGATCACAGTTGACCTCAAGAGTACTGACTTGGTGGTTGTATCATATCTGTGACCTCCTTTTTAGCCCGTACACTTTGGAGCCTGCAGTAGATGCCCTTTTATCATTGGGAAATAACAGATTACTCTGGCAAACTGTCAGGCTGTGCCTCTGGAAGTTGTTTTCCTCTTTTTCAACTGCATACACAAAATGCCTTTTTCTGACAGTGTATAAAATAGCTGGAAATCCCGGGATACTTGGCAGAAGTGCGCTGTGGGTTTTTTCCCCCGCCCCGGACTCCCCGTCTTCGTGCCAGGTCGCTGCCGGAGCAGGGACGCAGGCTGGTTCGGTAGGTAAGGCTGCCACCTCGTGGGGTCCGTCTGCACAGCACCCTGCCCTGCCGAGGGGACAAGGTGACAGCAGCCCTGGAGACCTTGGGGAGTTTCAGCCTCCTCCGAAGGCTGGGGAGAAAGACTCCAGTTTGCTGCGTGGTCTTTTCAGATCCATTCGCAAGGGCGACAAATTGTCAGCACCATTCATATTGCTGGTGCTGCTAAAACAATTAAAAAAAGTATTTCTGTAGATTTTATTCTTTCTAATTTGTAATGCTTTCCCGCCTCTGAACAGCTAAGTGTGCTGAAACTCTGGGAAATAATACGGAGCAGTATTTCAGTGCCAAAGCACAAATCAACGGGACTTGGGCTCTTAAGTGGTTTGAGAAATCCCACTTGTCGCTGGCCATGTCTCATAAACCCGCTGCTGCAGTGGGGCACATCCCTTCAGAGCGCCTTCACGGGAAGGACTCCCGACTGCGATGGGCATCCTCTCGGTATCACACAACACGCATGTACGCCTGCTGTTGCTTGAGGGACAAAATGACAACAGGTATTTAAACTAATGTTTCATAAATGTTGTTCACCAGGTAGCTGGAGCCACCCACACATGCGCCAGCAGGTAAGCTGTTGGGAGTACACCGGTGTGAAAATTCATTATATCAATGCAGGAACTGCATCAAAGAGATGTCACTTCTTCCTCATCTGTGAATCGCAGCAGAGACAGACAATACATCACTGCCTTCAGACTGGAGTCCCATATATCACTTTATCAATAACTTGCATGAAATATATCCGTATATGACTTCAGGCAGCATACTTTGTGCTAAACCCTGGCCAAAAGCAACCTTGTGGAGCAGGTTACTACTGTGTGTGTCAGAGAGAGAGAGAGACTGGGATGGTACAAGGCCCGCTCCTGTTCTGCACTGAGCTCGTTGTTCCTTCCTGCTCAGAAAACAGTTATTTCTCCCTTTTTTACCATCCATCCGGGACACTGAAATGGGATGATGGCGATTAGACAGGACGAGGCAGGAGGGGTGCTCTGCAGGTCCCCCCACGCCATGCCTGCCCAGAGGAAGGGGCTGCCGGTGCCATGCACCCCCCAGTGTGGTGGCTGGGACGCCTGGCCCCCCAGCCCCCGTCTCTCCTCAGTGCCCTACCTTGGCGGGGCCTCACCGCCATCCTGCCGCACCACAGATGGAGCCTGGCCACAGCCAGGGCAGGCTGTCAACAGGGGGCCGGGCTGGGCCCCCGCCCCCCGCCACCGCACCACAGATGGAGCCTAGCCT